CCTATCTATTCCCTATTTTTAGTTTTTCTCTCAGGGCCAGATCCAGGTTTTGTAGGACATTAAGTTCATACAATTTTGGAATCCTTCTTGAAGAAGGATACTGCATCTATCTGTTGAGGCTTCCATAACAAAGTATTACAGACTGGGTGGCTTAAAGAAAATAAATTTTTCTTACAGTTCTGGAGGCTGGAAGTCCAAGATCAAGGTAGGGATGTTGTCTGGCGAGACCTGTCTTCCTGGCTTGTACACAGCCACCTTCTGTCTCTGTGTCCTTGTATGGTCTTTCCTCTGTGCATGTGCTCTTTGGTATCTTTCCCTTCTCTTAACAAGAAGCCAGTTGTGGCAGAACAGAGGATCACACGTATGATCTTATTCCACCTTACTCACCTTCCTATGTGATTGGGCTTAGGGCTTGAGCCTATGGATTTTAGGAGGGAAGAGGGGACGCAATTCAGTCCATAATAAATACAAACTCACGAACACAAAAGTGGGTTCGCAAAAATACAAGTGAATATTTATTCAAAATGAGAAAATACATTATAACAAATTGCTGGAGGCTTAGAGTTTTAATGCCATTCTGCTGAGATCTCTTTAAGTAGTTGCGTTAGTCTGTTTTGTGTTGTTATAAAGAAGTACCTGAGGCTGGGTAATTTATAACAAAAATTGGTTTATTTTGGCTTACGGGTTTGTAGACTGTATAAAAAGTGCAGCATCAGCATGTTTCTGGTGCAGGCTCGGGGAACTTTCAATCATGGTAAGAGAAGGGGAGCCGATGCCCTGCGTGGCAAGAGGGAGAGCAAGAGTGAGAATAGGGAGGTCCCAGACTCTTTTAAAAAAACAGCAAGATCATGGCTAATTGCCATGGGGAGGGCACCAAGTCATTCAAGAAGGATCTGCCTCCCTGATCTAAAAACGTCTCACTAGACCCCACATCTAACACTGGGGATCACATTTCAACAGGAACTATAGAGGGACAAGCGTCCCTGTTTCAGTAGTTTTGCGGAAATACTTATTTAGAAATGCTGCCTGAATGTGAATCATCCTTCTCCTCTCCTGGAAACTCCACAAGAGGCAGCCAGAGGGTCTAGTGCTGATGGGATCCCTGAGGCTGAAGCTGTCTGTTCTTTCGTAAATCCTCTTCCACCTGTTAGAGATGTGCTAGTCTCTAATTTAGGGAAAGTAAAGAGAGGGGGTAAAAAAAAAAGAAAAATATATAAGGTGAAAGGAATTAGGGAAAATGGGACTGGGGGCTTGTATCTATTCCTTGGCTGGTACAATTTTCTCTAGCTCCTCCCACCTCATCACTGAAGTTCTGACTCTTGACCAGTGGTAAATCTAAAAAGGGCCCACAATTGCCATTTCCATGTTATCACTAATAAAGAGAATGGCGGTTAACAGCAGATACAGGAGTCACGTTTTATTTTTATTTACTTTCATGTGTGACCAAAGATTCCTATTTGGTGCCAGAACTCTTCAAAGCAGCTCGAATTGTGGTTTTTTGCATGTGCCAGATACTGTTCTCATTAGAACCAGGTAAAACTGGGACACCCCGAAGGAATTGGCTGACTGGCAGATTTTTACTAGAGCCGCAGTAATTAATGATACCACTGTGGTAAATAATTCACATTCTTGCAGTTTTTCTTATAATTATCTTCTGACTTTTATGTATTTCTTACCTAAACTACATCTGAGGAGCTAGTAAACTACTTTGCCCAAATTTTTGGTTAATTTACTTTATTTTCTTTCACTAAATTGACCAGTTGCTGCATGGAAATTATCAAACTGTTAAGTGGTTTTGCTGTCCAGACTTAATGTATTTGTTTTCACTCAATATAAGTTCTTTTTGATGTAAGAGGTCAGAACCCAATTCCAGCTGGCTTATGCAGAAAGTACATTGGCTTCTGGAATCTAAAGAGAGATTGGAGGACACTCAGGCATTTCCCTTGTCCTCAAGGGAAAAGGTGGAGCTAAAGTGGGGCACACACATCGCCAACCCAAGAGACTCTGGGTGCTTGTTATTTCCACTGCTCTCTATAGCCATCCTAAGAAACAATTTTTTAAATGACTTGAATATTAGATCTTAAGAATTCATCTGAGAGTGAGAAAGAGAGACAGAGATTCATCCTGGTGATTTTTATGTTTCGTAAAGCATGTAGCACAATTTAAGTCTAGTGCCTGTCTTTAGATCAATCGATTGTGATATTAGGGGTTGGGACACTAAGATTATCCTATCCTTTATAGAATGTCAACTCTTGATGAAACAACTGTGTTTAGGGTGGCAGTTCTGTGCAAGAATATGATAGAAAGGAAGCCGGGTGTGTGTGGCAGTATCATGGAGAAAGGAAGATAAATCATGAAAATAACAGTGAGGATGCTGGACAGATGATCATATAAATGTCTACTTCACTTTTTTCTTTTTTTTTTTTTTAATAGTGGTGATGGTTGTACATTATCAATGTACTTTTTTTTAATTTCTTTTTTTTTTCTAAAAAAAAGAAGAAAGAAAAAAAAAGAATGAAGGAGAGGAAGAAAGAGAAAGAGGAAGAGGAAGAGAGAACAGGGGTGTTGCTTTATTGCCCGGGCTAGAATGCAGTCTAAAAATGGGTATGCCTATTATTGTGCTTAATAATAGAGACATGAAAAAAAAATGAGGGAAGGAAATAACAAACAAGCAGCCAACCAATATTTCATTTAAACCTGTAAATAGATGTGATGTGGTACTGATAAGAGTGTATATTTTGTGTATTTAAAGTGGAGAGTTCTATAAATGTTAATTTAGTTTACTTGTTCTGGATCTGAGTTCAAATCCTGGATATCGTTGTTAATTTTCTGTCTCATTGATCTGTCTAATATTGATGTTGAAGTCTCCCACTATTATTATGTGGGAGTCTAAGTCTCTTTATAAGTCTTATATATCTGGGTATTCCTGTATTGGGTGTGTATATATTTAGGATCTTTAGTTCTTCTTGTGGCATTGATCCTTTTATCATTATGTAATATCCTTCTTTGCTTCTTTTGATCTTTGTTGCTTTAAAACAACTCCTGCTTTTTATTTATTTATTCATTTATTTTTGCTCTCCATTTGGTTGGTAAATCTTTCTCCATCTCTTTGTTTTGAGTCTTTGTGTATCCTTGCATGTGAGATGGGTCTGGATGCAGCATATCGATGGGTTTTGCCTTTTTTTGCCTGTCTGTGTCTTTGGATTGGGGGATTTAGTTGATTTAAATTTAGAATTAATAATAATATATGTGAGTTTAATGCTGCCATTTAATGTTAGCTGGCTGTTTTGCCTATTAGTTGATGTAAATTCTTGATTATGTTGAT